ATATCTACCTGAGCGTATCCATCTGTATGTCCACTTGAGCAAGCACCTGCACTCAACCCTGTGTATTTAGCTGAACTATCACTACACGTCCATCCATCTGTGTATGTGCAGGAGCACGCTAGTCTGCGCAGCCTGCTGGGCCGAATGGAGTGCCCATGCTGCTAAGCTGTTGATGAGACACCCCTATATGTATCCCCTCCCCCCCCCTCTCCTCCCCTCCCCCCTCCTGGGTCATGCAGTATGTGCATGAGCACGCTCGTCTGCGCAGCCTGCTGGCCGAATGGAGCGCCCATGCTGCTAAGCTGGAGGCAGCGCTTTACCGCGCCCAGGTGTACGCACAGAGAGAGGCCGGGAGAGAGGCGCGGAGAGGGGGAGGGAGAGAAGGGGGGAGAGAGGGGGGGCAGCGAGAGGGGGGGCAGCGAGAGGGGGGGCAGCGAGAGGGGGCGCAGAGGGTGGGGACAAGCGAAAGGCAGAGAGGGGGGCAGGTACAGGCGCAGGCAAGCATAGGGAGACCAGGGGGAGAGAGTGAGGTACAATCAAGGGCACAAGCACAGGCAGGAACGGATGGTGAGGCTGATGGGCGAGGGGAAGGGCGTGTGGATGGGGGGGGAAACGGGCAGGTAAATGGGCAGGCGCAGGAACGGAGGCATGCACAGGGAGTGGGAGAGGAAGAGGGGGGTGGACAGGGAGTGGGACAGGGAGGACAGGGAGTGGGAGAGGGAGTGGGACAGGGAGTGGGACAGCTGTAAGGCGAAGGTGAGGTGGGTGTCAACTTATACATATTATCTATGTAGAAGTTATAGGCTAGACCGAGGTATGCTTCTAGTGAGTACAACCAACTAGTATTTGTTCTAGGTTTCCACTTCTAGTAATCATTCGTTCTCACATTGACATGGTATCACGCGTAGGTTAGCATCCCCCCACCTACCGCTTCCGCCGTACCCTAGCCACGTCGCCCCCTCCTGGGCCACGTCGCGCCCTCTAGCCCGTCGCGCCTCCTAGCCCCGTCGCGCCCCTCCTGGGCCCGTCGCGCCACCCTAGCCCCGTCGCGCCACCCTAGCCCCGTCGCGCCCTGCCTAGCCTCGTCGCGCCCGCTCGGCCTCGTCGCGCCCTGCCTGGCTCCGTCGCGCCCGCCTGGCCCCGTCGCGCTCTGCCTGGCCCCGTCGCGCCCGCTCGGCCCCGTCGCGCCCTGCCTGGCTCTGTCGCGCCCGCCTGGCCCCGTCGCGCCCTGCCTAGCCCAGTCGCGCCCTGCCTGGACCCGTCGCGCCTGCCTGGCCCCGCCGCGCCTCCCTGGCCCTGCCGCGCTTGCCTGGCCCCGCCGCGCCTGCCTGGCCCCGCTGCACCTGCCTGGCCCTGACGCGCCTGCCTGGCCCCGTCGCGCCCTGCCTGGCCCCGTCGCGCCTGCCTGGCCCCGCCGCACCTGCCTGCCCCGCCGCGCCTGCCTGGCCCCGCCGCGCTTGCCTGGCCCCGCCGCGCCTGCCTGGCCCCGCCAGCACCTGCCTGGCCCCACCGCACCTGCCTGGCCCCTTCGCCCCGGCTCGTCCTGCCGTGCCGCCTCGGGCTCCGTCTCCTCTGCTCGCCCGTGCTGAGGCGCTTCGCGGCCGCCGTGCTAGAGAGGGTTGTCGCTGTGTCCCTGCGTCGCTGTGTTCCTGTGGAGCTGTGCCGCTGACCCTGCACGATGGCGGACTTCGTGCTCCGACTGGACGCCGAGGGCCATGCGGTTGACTTCGCCGCCTGGCTCTCCGATCTCCGCCGCCACCTTACAGGTCAGCGCCAGGATGGCCACTCTTTGGTTGTCCATGTCGACGGCTTGCTCCCCCGCCCCCCGCACCTGCTCCCCTCCCTGCTGATCCCTCCTCTGATGACCGTGAGACCTTCTCTACTGCTGCGCTTGCCCGTGCGGTCTGGGACTCCCGCGATGCAGTCGCTCAGGTTGCCATTAGCCACGCCCTCCCTGTCTCTGAGCGCTCGCGTTTTGCTACTATTGAGACGGCCAAAGCTTACTTAGACGCTGTTATTGCCCGCTATTCCACACCCGCGTCTGCATCTGCTGGTCGCCTGCTCTTCCCTATGCTTTTCCCAGACCTTGCAGCTTTCCCTACCGTCGCAGACTTTGCCACTCACCTGCGTGCCCTAGAGACCCGCTATCGCACTGCCAGCACTGCCGCCCAGCTCACTGCGCTCCCCCCCCTTTCTGCATGACGCTCTATTTTATCGCCATGCGCCTGCCAGACCGCCTCGCTAGTGCTCGCGATCACTTTCTTAGCCAGCACCCGGGTGACCTCACTCTCACTGCCTTTGTCGACACCCTTACCGAGATCGAAACTCGCCAGCGCACTATCGCTCAGTCGAGCGGTGCGCCGGCAGTTTCTATCTTTCACGGTTGTGCCCCCTCCCAGTGTGCGTTCACTGACGTTTCGGCTGCGGTCGCCTCGACGGCCCCTCTCACCGAGACGGCTGGTGCGGTCCACCCGCAGCAGCGCTCGCGCCGCGGTGGCCGTGGTCGCCAGGGGGGTAGGGGTGGTGGTGGCAGTAGTGGTGGTGACGGTAGTCCGCTTGTGGGGACTACCGCTGGTGGGCAGGAGCAGCAGCCCCAGCCGCAGCAGGAGCAGCCCCAGCCGCAGCCGCCGCCCCAGCAGCAGTCACCGTCCCAGCAGCAGTCGCCGCAGCAGTGGGCCTTCTCCCGCCTGGTTGGCCCGACACCTCTGGAGGTAGTGGCCGTGGTGGCGGCCCGCGCAGCTTGGCGTCTACCGGCGGCTCCGGTGCTGTCACCTGCCAGTACCAGCTTCAGACCGGGCCTCTTCGCGGCACTCTGTGCCGCCGCCCGCACCCGACCGCCCGCTGTTTCCGCCGCCTCGACGATCTCTTTCGTCGTCGCTTTGGCCCGGCCCCGGACCTCCCCGACTGGCACAGCCTGCTCCGCCAGGGCGTGCCGATCTTTGAGTTAGACATGGATCAGCTAGGTGCTGCTTTGCATGCTTTGTATTCTGACGCTTCTAGTTTTACTGGATCTTATTACCCTGTGTACTCTAGTTTAGGTGTTGCACCACTGTGTAGCTTAGCCTCCCCTGCTGCGTCAGGCGTAGGACTGCCTAGGTTGCCTAGTCTAGTCGCTGCACCGGCTCCGTCCCGGCCTCCGCCACTGCGTCGCTGTCCTTCACTCTCGACTCCGGTGCTTCTGCCTGCTTCTTCCGCGACCGTTCCACGCTCACGCCGCTTGCTGCACCTGCTGTTGTCTCTCTCGCTGACCCCTCTGCGGGTCCTGTCGTCGCGCGCAGTTCTACGTCCCTTCCCTGTCCGGCAGTTCCCTCGGGCTCCCTTACTGGCCTCCACGTTCCCTCGTTCTCCAGGAACCTGGTTGGTGTCGGCTGTCTCCAGGACCTCGGCGTCACCACCACGTTCCCCGGGCACGAGCGGTTCGCTGTCTGTTCTGAGGCTGTCTCAGGTTCCCCCCTTGCGACGTTCCCCCCGGGACCCGGTGTCCGGTCTGTTTACCCTAGACACCGCTTCCCCCCCGGTTGCTGCGTCCTCCCAGGTCGCTGCAGCTTGCTCGTGTCGGTCCCTCACTCACCCCTTCCTTCTCTGGCACCACCGCTTAGGTCACCCTGCTCTCCCACGTCTGCGTCACATGTCCCAGCACGGTCTTGTCTTAGGTCTCCCCGCGTTGCTCCCTGCCCTTCCTCCCTCGACTGCGCCACCGTGCACGCCTTGCGTCGAGGGTCGGCTCCGCCGTGCTCCTCACTCCTTCTCGCTGCGTCCTGCTACTGGCCCCCTTCAGACCCTGCACCTAAACGTTTGGGGCCCTGCCCCCGTCCCCGGACCGCGCGGTGAGCGCTACTTCCTTGTGCTCGTCGACGACTACACGCGCTACACCACGGTGTTTCCCCTGGAGCGGAAGGCCGACGTGGCCGACGTTCTTCTCCCGTTGGTTGTGGCTGCGCGTCTCCACCGCGGTCTCCCCGTGTTGTGTCTCCACTCTGACCGTGGCGGCGAGTTCGCCTCTGGTCGGCTTGGACAGTTCTGTCGTGCGGAGGGCATCACCCAGTCGTACACGTTGCCGGACTCGCCACAGCAAAATGGGGTTGCTGAGCGCCGCATCGGCTTGGTCATGGAGGTCGCCCGTACCTCCATGATCCATGCCGATGCCCCCCATTTTCTGTGGCCGTTCGCTGTTCGCTACGCTGCTCACCAGCTTAACCTGTGGCCACGCTCCCAGCGGCCGCAGGTTTCGCCGACCCTCCTTTGGACCGGGTCCCCCGGTGACGCGTCGGCGTTCCACGTCTGGGGCTGCCTTGCTCACGTTCGTGCCGCTGGCACGGACAAGCTCACTGCCCGCACTGTCCCCTGTGTCTTCCTCGGTTTCCCCCTGGACTCGTCTGACTGGCTTTTCTACCACCCGCCGTCTCACCGCTTCCTCCACTCTCGTGACGTCACCTTTGACGAGTCCGTCTCCTTCTATCGCCGCTTCCCTCACCGAGGTCTCCCAGTTGCCTCGCCCCTGTTCCTTGCTCCCTCTCCCCCGGTAGCCACTGCCCCTCTCCCGCCTCGTCCTGCCCCGTCTGGTGTCTCTCACGTCACTCCCCTCCCGTCGGTTGTCCCCGTTGAGGAGTCTGCTGACTCTGGTGGTACCCCTGGTCCGTCCTTGCCGCGTCCCCCTTCCCCGGTGCCTCCGCCCCCACTGTCGCAGTCGCCGACCCCGCTGCCGCCGCCGTCGCCGCTGTCGTCGCCGCCGCAGCCGTCGCCGCCACTGCCGCCGCCGCTCTTGGCCCCTGGGGGTGCTGGTGTAGAGGAGGGTGTTCGTCCTGCGGCTTCTGGGGGTGCCGCTGGTGTTGGAGGGGGTTCTCGCTCTGGGGGTGTTAGTTCTGGGGGTGCTGCTGTTGAGTGTTCTACCGACGGTCGTTCCGCCTCTGCTGGTCCGAGAGTTCCGGCCCAGCCGTCGTCGCCGCCACAGCAGCCGTCGCCGCCGGTCTCCGCTCTCCGCCTGCTCGGCCTTCCCTCCCCGGACCGCGCGCCGGTGTCTCCCCCACCGCCTGCTGAGCTTCCTGTCTACGGTCCTGTGTTCCCGCCGCCGGACTCGTCTCCGGCCCGTCTTCCTTCTCGTTCCCCTCCTGTGTCTCCTCCGCTGTCCCCTGACCCTACACCTCCGTCTCACGTTTGGGCTCGTCGTCCCTCCCGTGCTCGTCCCGTCTCTCCTGTCCTGCCCACCCACCCTATGTTGCTCCGTTCCCGCTCGTCTCGTCCTCCCCTCCTCCCGTCCCCTCCTCCCTCGTCCCTTGCTGTTGCACCTCCTTCGTTCTCTGACTACCTCCGTGCTGCTCGTCCCCTTGTCCCTCGGGTCCTTGCCTCTCTTGTTACCGACCCTGCTGTTCCTGTCTCGCGCCTTGACGCGCTTGTCGCTGCTGTCGCTGCCTTCGCCTCTACCCGCCGCCTTGACTACGCTACCGCTCTGGTCTCTGACCCTGCCCGTCCTCCGTCCGTCGGGGGTGCTCCTGCCCTTGGCAGTGACGTCCTAGAGGACAGGCAGTACGAGCTGGCTTTCCTTTCCGAGGCTGCTCCCCATCTCTGCTCCATGCTGTTAGTCCCTGAGGGTGACCAAGACGCCTTTGACATCCCGACCCCTCGCACCTACGCTGAGGCCACCTCGGGACCTTGGGCCTCTCAGTGGATAGCTACCATGGAGCAGGAGATGGCATCTTGGAGGTCCACCGGCACTTACGTCGACGCAGTTCCCCCGCCTGGGGTGAACGTAGTCGATGGTCGGTGGCTCTTCAAGGTGAAGCGCCCCCCTGGAGAGCCGCCTGTCTTCAAGGCGCGCTACGTGGCCAGAGGTTTCAGTCAGCGCGAGGGGGTTGACTTCTTCCAGACCTTCGCCCTGACCCCGAAGATGACCACTCTTCGGGCGCTGCTACACGTAGCAGCACAGCGTGACTACGAGCTTCACTCCCTCGACTTCTCTACTGCCTTTCTTCAGGGCAGCCTACACGAGCAGGTCTACCTGCGCCGACCACAGGGCTTCACTGGTACCTTCCCTCCTGGGACCCAGTGGCTTCTCAGGCGCCCGGTCTACGGCCTGCGTCAGGCTCCCCGCGAGTGGCACAACACGCTACGTGCCACGTTAGCAGACCTGCAGTTCTTTCCCTCCTCTGCTGACCCGTCGCTGTTTGTGCGTTCCGGCCAGACTCCGTTCTACATCCTTGTCTACGTAGACGACCTGGTCTTCGCTACTCCTGACAGGGACGCACTGGCCTCTGTGAAGGCTGAGCTGCTGAAGAGACACACCTGCACTGACCTTGGAGAGCTGCGTCGCTATCTTGGCCTGCAGATCTCTAGGGACAGAGCAGCACGCACCATCACTCTGACCCAGTCACACTTGGTGCGTCAGGTCCTTCAGAGGTTCGGTCTTCAGTTCTCCTCCGCACAGCCCACACCTCTACCCGTAGACCATGGGCTCTCTGCTTCCGTTCCTGAGGAGCCAGTAGAGCCCAGTGGCCCCTACGCAGAGCTGGTGGGTTGCCTCATGTACCTGATGACTTGCACTCGCCCAGATCTCGCATACCCTCTCAGCATCCTGGCTCGCTTTGTGGCTACAGGCAGACACCGACCTCAGCACTGGTCTGCCGCTAAGAGGGTTTTGCGTTATCTTGCTAGTACATCAGGCATGGGGTTAGTGCTAGGAGGACGCAGGCCAGTGGTCCTTACTGGGCACACAGACGCTTCTTGGGCAGACGACGCTGAGACGCTCAGGTCGTCGCAGGGCTACTGTTTCAGCCTTGGTTCGGGTGCTATCTCTTGGAGATCCACTCGCTCGTCGTCTGTGGCTCAGTCTAGCTGTGAGGCTGAGATCTACGCTGGTGCCATGGCGGCACAGGAGCTCCGCTGGCTGACCTTCTTGCTCACAGACTTAGGTGAGCGGCCTAGCTCTGCCCCGGTCCTGTACGCTGACAACAGGGCCATGATACTCCTGTGTCAGGAGCCTCGGCTTGAGGGCAGAGCGAAGCATATCCAGCTGCGGTACTTCCTCCTGCGCGAGCTACAGCAGCGCCGCCAGGCCCGCGTAGTTCACTTGGCCTCAGGTGCCAACACAGCTGATATCTTTACTAAAGCGCTTGCGCCTAAAGATCATCAGCGGCACTGTGTACAGCTTGGTCTTGTTCCTGTAGCTGCTCCCCTGTTAGGATCCTGATTGTGTACTCTCTATTATATATGCTTGTCAGACTGGCCTTGTGGCCTTACCTCCGGTGGCTGGACTAGTAGTGTCACCCTGGCTTGCTTCAGTTTTGGTTGTATTCTTGCTGACTGGTCTCCAGACCCCTGCCTCAGTGGTTGGACTAGTAGTGCCGCCCTGAGCTGTTTGCTTCTTGTTTAGTTTCACCCCTTGTCTAGCCTAGGGGGTGTGTCAACTTATACATATTATCTATGTAGAAGTTATAGGCTAGACCGAGGTATGCTTCTAGTGAGTACAACCAACTAGTATTTGTTCTAGGTTTCCACTTCTAGTAATCATTCGTTCTCACATTGACAGTGGAGATGAGGAGGGGTGTTTGTAGAGCACGTACGGTATGTACCGTCAATGGCACCAAGGGCTTTAACAGCTGTCCTTGTTGCATTGTGAAGGTGCACCCAGAGTTGGGTTCCTCCTGGGTGGGGGACTGGGGTTGAGTTGCCTTTTTTGTTCTCCGTTTGGTGGGTGTTTGTTGTGCCCCTCGTGTTGGCCTCAAGGGTTTTGTTGCTGTATCCTCCGATACCATGTGTTCCTGTCAACCAAGAGTTAGGGCTCGTGTGGTGGTACCCAGACCCTTAACCCTTGGTGTTGGTTTTGAGTGTGGGTTACTGCAGCAGTGTCTCTCTCCCTACTCTACTCTCAACAAAGGAAGGTTAAGTGTGGGGTGAGTGGTGGTGATGAGACACTGGAATTGAGATGCTAGTGCAAATTCTGTGTACATTGGTTAGGCACGGTATATCACTACACTAACCTACAGCCTAAATAGCCACCATTGAAGTGTGGCCTGTATTTTGAATGTTTTGGAGGTGGAGTATTCTAGGATTTTTTGCTAGGAGTAACGTAATTGGTATTTTATGTAAATACGTATAGCATGTAAATCTGTTTTACCGGTATTGGCTGGAATTGCCTCACTTGGGTGTCTGTGACTGTAACTGATCCCTGGCCACCCGTGTTATGATAATCTCCAGATAGGAGTCGAGTAATGCAATAGTGAGGTCGTGGTGGGTAAAGTGTGTCGAGTACAAATGAAGCACAGGGCTAAATACAAGCACGGCTAGCCTAGCAAGAGGGCCTCATTGGGCTGATTTTATCAGACTATTTTAGTCTGATTGTCTGAAATTTCAGACCTATTTTTTTGCCGATCCTGATTTTTCAGACTTGCCATTTTCTGAATGCTGAACCCTTCAGACTTATATGTTTTTGAATCCTGAGAATCTCAGACTTCGCAGTTTGCGGATACTGAGTTTTCAGAGCGCAGCGCGTACGGACCCTGAGACACACATACTAGTACTGCACCTCCCTGCCCTCACCCAAAAATTTCGTCTAAGTCCCCAAGGGCCAGAGTCAAGTCCTTTCACACACACCCCGCCCCGCAACCTAAAAAATCTGGCTAAGTCCTAGCAGCCAGAGATAGTTCCCCCCAGCACATTTCTTCCCTACTCGCCTCGCAGCCCCAGAAATTCGACCAAGTCCCCACAGACAGACACATCCCTCCCACACCTCTTGCGACCCTGAAATTTCGGCTAAGTCCCCACAGCAAGAAATATCCCTCCCTCAGCTCCCGCAACCCGGAAAAATCGTCGAAGTCCCTTGCAGCCATAAAAAAAATCCTCCCACAAACCCCCGCAACCCGCAATCCTGCTTATTACCCGACTTTTGTGAAGTTCCTAAAAGGGGTAACAAGAAAATCATTCATCTGGCTGGCGATTTTTTTAATTTTTATTTTCTGATTTCTCAGACGATGTGAATTTAACTCTGAAAAATCACACTGTCCACGGCTCAATTGAGGGAGTGTTGTTTTCCAACACGACACTTTCTGGCAACTTTGTGTCATTGCTGATTTTGCAGTCAAATTTGCCAGTCAATCACAATTTTGATACAAAGTGTCGTGACGGTGTATCGTGTACGAACAGGCCCTGAGGGGGAGAATTCGAAAAGGAGGGGAGGGGGAATCGAGTTCGAGGGGGAAAGGGGGAGGGAATCAAAACCGAGGGAAGGGGTGAAGCGAAATGGAGGGGAGGGGGGGGGGGGAAGGGAGGGGGGAACGAAACGGAGGGGAGGGGGGGTGGGGGTTCGAAACGGAGGGGAGGCGTGGAAGCGAAACGGAGGGGAGGGGGGAAGCGAAACGGAGGGGGAGGGGGGGGGGGGGGGGTGGGGGTGGGGGGTGGGTTTGAAAATTGAGGGGGGGGGGAGAGGATCGCGCCCCGGTTGATCGATCTTGGACGTTTATCCCTTGCAACCATCGAATGGTTAAAAAACGTCGAAACGATTGCAATCGATCGTGACCGTCACATTTTTATAGAATTTCAGTTGACCAAACGGGCAGCTGTCGAGAATTTCGCCTAATAGAAACGACTGTTATTAGAATGCGGAATTTACTCTTAGTCGAATGCAACTTAAAAAAAAAAAACTGAAATCCTCTCTCCTAGTTGCCAAATCAGTTTTTTTAACACGCCCTAATGAAAAGGCAATTTTTTGCTAGGAAACTCTGATGAATCCACGTGAATTTTCTTCACGAAAAGCTGATGAATTATGGTACCCTAAAACCAGTCGTGGGGCCTGGTGTGAACACTGGAAATATAAGATTTCGACTTGGGCGCAGGACTCTGAGTCGACATTCTGAACCCTGAGTATTTCAGACTCGTTGTCTTTTGGACACTGAGATTTCAGAGTAGCGAAATTTCGAAAAATGGCCCTTCAGACTCTGGAATTTTTTGGGGGGGCAAAATCAGAGTGCCTTTTTTTGAAACGTCAGCCCTGGGCCTCAAGGAAGGCCACAAAACACACGCGAGGTGGTTCGGGGCGCCTCGGGACTCGGAAGTGTCAGACGTGACGTCGCGTGCAGGCTTGGGGTCTCGAACGTAGTTTGAATCTGAATTGTTGGGCCGAGCCTGGACTTCCGAAATTCAGGGCTGTACTCGATGTTAGCGAGGCTCGATAAGGAATAGGGATTTTCTTTACACCTGTTCAAATTATTTAAATTATTATAATTGATAGGCTTGGTAGTTATTACTGAACCTTACTGTAGAGGGTACAATCCCCTCCTTGTACCCCTCTCTCTTCTTAATCGACTATCTTCTCTCTCGTCCATCTCCCTAGCTAAACCTCGGCCGCCATTTCATGGCGGCCTTCTCCTTTCTTGCTAGTTCAGTTCACAACATGGTAACAGAGCAGGCCGCCTGTCCCGGGCCTGCTCATTACGCTTCCGCTGCATACTTTCACCGTTCGCGTATGTGCCGCCATCGCGGCCCTTCAGTTCCCTGCCGCTGTGGCGGCCACTTGTTATCCTGCCGCCGTGGTGGCCTTCTGCTGTCGCGCCACCGTGACGGCTTCTCGTCTTCGTGCCGCTGTGACGGCCGTTACGAGATGCCGCCGCGGGCTCATGGTGCAGCCGTCGCCCGTCCGCCTCGCCGCTGCGGCATTGACGTCACGCTGTGGCGGCGTCTAGGGCAGCCGACGGCATCGTCGGGCTGCAGCCTGCCAAGCGACGTCTGTGGCGCCGCCGGACCGGCCGCCCGCTCGCCAGATACAAGCATCACTCAGGACGCCGTCCTCCCGCCAGTAAGCGCCGCGCCATTTATGGCGCGTCGCTGAAGACTCGCCCCGTTCCCCCCCCCATTCTCCCTTCCCCCTGCGTCTTCCCTTCCTCCTGTCGCAGCTGCTGTCTTCTGCCTGGACGTTGCCACACCGCCGAGAGCCCTCAGCCGCGGCAGTCGCCGCTTGCCGTCAGCGACACAGCCGCCTTGAGCAAGAGCTCCGCCGCTGCTTGTCGCTGAGCCGCCCAGACGCCGTAGGCTGCCTCTCGCCCGGGGGTGTCAAACTACCAAGCCTAGGGGGTGTGTGACTACCAAGCCTAGGGGGTGTGTTCAAATTATTTATGTTATATATAATTGCGCCCCGTGCGCCCAGCTGGCCCCTCGCGCCTAGCCGGCCCCTCGCGCCCTAACCAGGGCCCTCGCGCCCCAGCCAGCCCCTCGCGCCCTAGCCGGCCCTTCGCGCCGTCGCCGGCCCCTGGCGCCTAGCCGCCCCCCTCGCGCCCTAGCCGGCCCCTCGCGCCGTCGCCGGCCCCTTGCACCCTAGTCGACCCCTCACGCCGTCGCCGCCCCCCCCTCGCGCCCTAGCCAGCTCCTTGCGCCGTCGCCAGCCCCTCGCACCCAGCCGGCCCCGCGCGCCCTAACCGGCCCTCCGCGCCCTAGCCGTCCCCCTAGCGCCCTAGCCGGCCCCTCGCGGCCTAGCCGTCCCTCCCCCCCCCTCGTGCCTAGCCGGCCCCTATCGCCTGTCCGGCCCCTCGTGCAACTCCCCCCCCCCCCCCTTGCGCGCCCGGTCCCTGTTCCGGAGAGTCCTGCCGCCACGCCACTATATCGCCGTGCAGCTGAGTACCTGTGTCCCTGTGCTGCTGCGCCGCTGTGTCCCTATGCCATTGTGCCGCTGTGTCACGGTGCCGCTGAGGTTGCGCGATGGCGGACACCATCCTCCGCCTGGACGCGGAAGGGCACGCGATCGACTTCGCCTCATGGCTTGTCGATCTTCGCCGGCACCTGACAGGTCAGCGCCAGGATGGCCACTCCCTGGCTATGCATATTGATGGCTTGCTTCCCCGCCCCCCCCCTCGTGCGTGATCCCCACTCTGCTGAACTCACCACTGCTAAGAGTGAGGCCTTTGCTGCTGTTGCGCTAGCTCGCGTTGTCTGGGATTCTCGCGATGCTGTAGCGCAGCTTGCCATTAGTCATGCGCTTCCCCTATCTGAGCGTCCCTGCTTCACTCCTGTAGCCAACGCCAAAGACATCATAGATGCAGTAGTTGCACACTACTCCACGCCTACCTCTGTCTCAGCTGGACGCTTGATTCTTCCCATGCTCTCCCCTGATCTCTCTGCTTTCCCTACTGTCGCTGATCTTGCCACTCACCACCGTGCACTAGAGACTAGCTATCGCGCTGCCAGCACTACTGCCCAGCTTGATGCCTTCCCCCCGCCGTTCTGCGCTACCCTATACCTTATTGCCATGCGCTTGCCTGACCACTGACACCACAGCGGCGGCCTTCCTGCAGCAGCAGCGACAGCGTCGGGGCCGTCGCTGCCCCAAGGGAGGGCGTGGTGGTGGTGGCGGGGACAGTGGCTCTGATGAGGGGCCTGGGGCAGGTGTCCAGGAGCAGCAGCAGCCGCACCAGACACAGTAGCAGCAGATGCAGCCGCAGCAGCAGCCGTGGGCCCGCCTCCCGTCGGGGTGGCCAGGAGCCCCTGGAGGTGGCGGCCGCAGTGGTGGTCCCCGCAGCTTGGCGTCTACCGGCAGCTTCGGTGCTGTGGGCTGCCAGTACCAGCTCTAGACTGGGCCCCTCCATTGCAGTGTGTGCCACCGCCCGCACCCGACCGCCCACTGCTTCCGCCGCCTCGATGACCTCTTCCGTCGCCACTTCGGCCCAGCCCCGGACCTCCCTGACTGGCGCAGTCTCCTCCGTCACGGTATGCCTGTGTTTGACTTAGACATGGATAAGATTAGTTCTGCCCTGCATTCTCTGTATGTGGACGCTTCTAGTGTGTCCGGATCTTATTACTCTGTGTTCTCTAGCTTAGGCGTAGCACCTGTGTGTAGTACAAACTCCCCTGCTGCGTCAGGCATAGGACCATTTGCCTTTTCTAGCTTAGGCTCCACACTCGCTCCTCCTTTGGCTATCGCTTCTGCTTCGCTGTCCTTCACACTTGAATCCGGTGCGTCTACCTGCTTCTTCCGCGACCACACTGCGCTTACGCCGCCTTCCGCGCCTGCTGCTGTCGCACTTGCTGACCCCTCTTCTGGTCCTGAAGAAGTGTGCAGCTACACTACCCTTCCCTGTCCAGCGGTTCCCTCGGCTTCCCTTACAAGCATGCACATTCCCTCGTTCTCTCGGAACTTAGTTGGTGTCGGCTATCTTCAGGACTTCTGCATGACCACTACGTTCTAGGGTCACGAGCGGTACGCCGTCTGTACCGAGGCTGCCTCGGGACCCGGTGTCTGGACTCTTTATGCTGGACACTGCTTCCCCCTCGGGTGGACCATCCCCCCCGGGTCCTGCGTCTACCCAGGTCGCCACTGCGTGCTCATGTCGGTCGCTCACTCACCCGTCGCTTCTCTGGCACCACCGCCTAGGTCACCCCGCACTCCCCCGCTTGTGTTACATGTCCCAGCACGGTCTCGTCCTAGGTCTCCTTGCGTCGCTTCTTGCCCTCCCTCCCTCACCTGCGCCGCCGTGCACGCCCTGCGTCGAGGGCCGGCTGCGCCATGCTCCTCACTCCTCCTCGCTTCGCCCTGCCACCGCACCCCTCCAGACCCTGCACCTGGACCTCAAGGGCCCAGCCCCTAATCCCTGGACTGTGTCGCGAGCGCTACTTTCTCGTGCTCGTCGACGACTTCACATGCTACACCACGGTGTTTCCCCTGGAGCGGAAGGCCGACGTGCCCGACGTTCTTATCCCATGGGTCATAGCTGCACGCCTCAACCGCGGTCTCCCGATGTTGTATCTCCACTCCGACCGTGGCGGCAAGTTTGCCTCTGGTCGGCTAGGACAGTTTTGTCATGCGGAGGGCAGCATCCAGTCGTACACCCTGCCGGAGTCCCCACGGCAAAATGGGGTCGCTGAGCAACGCATCGGCTTGGTCATGGAGGTGGCTCGTACCTCCATGATTCATGCTGGTGCACCCCATTTTCTGTGGCCGCGCTCCTACCGGCCGCAAGTTTCGTCAACCCTTCTTTGGACCGGGTTCCCTGGTGACGCGTCCGCATTCCACGTCTGGGGCTGTCTTGCTCACGTTCGTGCCTCTGGCACGGACAAGCTCACTTCCTGCACTGTCCCGTGTGTCTTCCTCGGTTTTCCTCTTGACTCGTTTAATTGGCACTTTTACCACCCGTTGTCTCACCGCTTCTTTCACCCGCGTGATGCCACTTTTGACCAGCCTGTCTCCTTTTACCACCGCTTTCCCCACCGATTTCTCCTGGTTTCCCCCCCTCTGTTTCTGGTTCCTCTCCGTCAGTAGCCCCCGCTCCCCTTCCCCCCCATCCTGCTCCGTCTGGTGTGTCTCACGTCACTCCCCTCCCGTCGATTGTCCTGGTCGAGGAGTCGGCTGACTCTGGTGGCCCTGCGGCACAGTTCTTGCCGCCTGTTTCTCCCCCGGTGTCTCCTCCTCCGCCATCGTAGTCGCCGCCGCCGTAGCCACCGCCGCCGTAGCCGCCGCCGCCGTCGCCACAGCAGCAGCCGTTCGTGGCCTCTGGGGGTGCTGGCGTTGAGAAGGGTTCTAGTCCTGGGGTTCCTGTCGTGGCTTGTCCTGGCGGGCTCGGTGGTTGCACTGGTCCTGACGAGGTTTCTCCCTCTGGGGGTGCTTGATCTTGGGGTGCTGGCGTGGAGTGTTGTGGAGGTAGCCACGGTGCAGTTGGCGGTCCAGGCGTCGGCGTCGAGCAGTAGCAGCAGCAGCAGCAGCAGACGTCGTCGGTGTCCGCTATTTGCCTGCTCGGTCTTCCCTCCCCTGACCGCTTGCCTGCGCTTCCCCCGCCATTTGCTCCCCTTCCTGTCCATGGTCTTGTGTTTCCTCCACTAGACTCGTCCCCGGCTCATTTCCCACCTCGTTCCCCTCTTGTTAGTCCTCCTCTGTCTCCTGATCCGACGCCTCTGTCTCACGTCTGGTCTCGTCGTCCCTCTCGTGCTCGTACTGTCTCCCCTGTTCAGCGTTCTCACCCCATATTGCTTCATTCCCACGCGTCTCGTCCTCCCCTCCTGCCTTTGCCTCCTCCGTCGTCGCTTGCTGTTGAGCCTCCCCTTCTGTCTAACTACCTTCGTGCTGCTCATCCTCTCGTTCCTCGGGTCCTTGCCTCCCTTGTTACCGACCCCTTTGTTCCTCTCTCGAGTCTTGACGCTCTTTTCGTTGCTAAAGCTGACTTTGCCTCTACCCGCCGCCTTGACTATGCCACCGCTCTGGTCTCTGACCCTGTCCGTCCTCTGTCCGTCGGGGGTGCTCTTGCCCTTGGCACTGACGTCCTAGACGACAGACAGTACGAGCTTGCTTTCCTGTCCAAGGCTGCTCCCCATCTCAGCTCCATGCTCCTAGTCCCTGAGGGTGACCCAGACGCCTTTGACATCACCGCTGAGGCGACCTCGGGACCCTGGGCCTCTCAGTGGATAGCTACCATCGAACAGGAGATCGCATCTTGGAGATCCACCGGCACCTACATCAACGCAGTTCCCCCACCTGGGGTGAACGTAGTCGATGGCCAATGGCTCTTCAAGGTGAAGCGCCCCCCTGGAGAGCCGCCCATCTTCAAGGCGCGCAATGCGGCTAGAGGCTTTAGTCAGCGAGAGGGGGTGGACTTCTTTCAGACCTTTGCCCCGACCCTGAAGATGACTACTCTTCAGGCGCTGCTACATGTAGCAGCACAGCGTGACTACGAGCTCCACTCCCTTGACTTCACCATTGCCTTTCTTCAGGGCAGCCTACACGAGCAGGTCTACCTGCGCCGACCGCAGGGCTTCACCGGTACCTTGCCTCCGGGACCCTGTGGCTCCTCCGGCGCCCGGTCTACGGCCTGCAACAGGCGCCCTGTGAGTGGCACAACATTCTGCGTGCTACGCTAGCTGACCTGCATTTCTTTCCGTCCTCTCCATACCCTTCGCTTTTCGTTCGTGCTGGCCAGACTCCGTTCTACATCCTTGTCTACGTAGACGACCTGGCCTTCGCTACTGCAGACAGGGACGCGCTGGCCTCCGTGAAGGCCAAGCTGCTGAGGAGACACACTGACCTAGGAGAGCTGCACCACTACCTTGGCCTGCAGATCTCCAGGGATAAAGCAGCGCGCACCATCACTCTCACACAGTCACACTTGGTGTGCTAGGTCCTTCAGAAGTTCGGTCTTCAGTTCTCCTCTGCACAGCCCACACCTCTGCAAGTAGACCACAGGATTTAGGCTCCAGTTCTTGAGGAGTCAGTAGAGCCCAGTGGTCCTTACGCAGAGTTGGTGGGTTGCCTCATGTACTTGATGACTTGCACGCGTCCCGGTCTCGCATACCCTCTCAGCATCTTGGCTCGCTTTGTGGCCACCAGCAGACACCGACCACATCAATAGTCGGCTGCTAAGAGGGTTTTGCATTATCTAGCGAGTACATCGGGGATGGGGCTAGTCCTAGGAGAACTCATGCCGGTGGTCCTTACTGGGCACACAGACGCTTCTTGGACAGACAACGCTGAGACCCTCAGGTCCTCACAGGGCTACTGCTTCAGCCTTGGTTCGGGTGTCATCTCGTGGAGGTTCACTTGCTCCTCATCTGTTGCCCAGTCTAGCTATGAGGCTGAGGTCTACGCCGGTGCCATGGCGGCACAGGAGCTCCGCTGGCTGACGTTCTTGCTCACCAACTTAGGTGAGCGGCCTAGCTCTGCCCCGGTCCTTTACGCTGACAACAGGGCCATGATCCTCCTGTGTCAAGAGCCTCGACTTGAGGGCAGAGCAAAGCACATCCAGCTGCGGTACTTCCTCTTACGTGAGCTACAGCAGTGCCGCCAAGCCCGCGTAGTCCACTTGGCCTCCGGTGCCAACACAGCTGGTATCTTTACGAAGGCACTTGCGCCTAAAGATCATCAGCGGCACTGCTTGCAGCTTGGTCTAGTTCCTGTATACTCTCACTTGCAATGATCTTGACTGTGTACTCCTCTTTATATATATATCTTTCAGATTGGCCTTGTGGCTCTTCTTCCAGTGGCCGGACTAGTAGTGCCACATTGGCTTGCTCCTATCTTGTTTGTACTCTTGCTGACTGGTCTTCGGACCCCTGACTCAGAGGTTGGGCTAGTAGTGCCACTCCGAGCTGTGTGCTTCTTGCTCAGCACTACCCCTTATCTTGCCTAGGGGTTGTGTCAACTTATACATACCTTCTGCATGTGAAGTTATAGGCTAGAATAGGTGTATGTTCTTAGAGAGTACAACCCAACCCTATATCTTGCTTGTTCTCTCTTGTTTCCATTTCATTCTAGTATTCTAACAATTTAGGGCAGCCCGATCGTGTAAATAGACCTGCACCAATGGGTGGTTGTCGAGGGTAGCAGCTGGGACCCACATGTCGTCGTCGCACGTACGGTCAACCCATCGAACTGGAAATTCCAAAACTCGTTGACCTTGGTCTCGACGGATTCGGTGGGAGAGGATTTGCTGTGATTCGGTGGTTGGCTCATGGACGAGTCTGACCGAAGGATAGAGTCGTTGACGGTCGAGATCAGCCGTCTTTGTAACAAACTGTCGAAGGAGGCTGATGTGGAATGGACCGTGGATACGCCATTAGTCTGGTAATAGTAACTTGGCGATGACAGGTATCACCATTTGGACAATTCGTAAGGGCCCACAAAATCTCGGGCGGAGTTTATGTGGTAAACTCAACCCCAAGTTCTTGGTGTCCTGAAGGACTAGTTGCCCAGGAGACAAGGGTAAATCTCGTCGATGCCTGTCCGCGTACCGTTTGGCTGTAAGGTTGGATTTTGAAATGGCCTCGGTAGCGTTTTTCTGTGCAGTCTATAAGTCCTTGACGAACTGTTGCGATCGTGGGGCAGGGCTCTCAACTAACAGTGTAGTGGGAGTCGTGGGGTTTAGACCGTAATTCAGGTAGAACGGTGATTGGGCAGTCGTTGACAAAGGGGCGTTGTTATACGCGAACTTGATCAGGGGAAGGGAATCTTCCCATTGGGTCGGGTCGGTACAGGTTGTCCGTATCAGTTGCTCCATGGTCTGATTTGTCCGTTCAGTCTGACCGTCGGTCTGTGGGTGGAAAGTTGCGGACAGATGGAGACGTGTACCGTGCTGTTCCCACTTTTTTTTCCAGAAGTTGGACGTGAATCGGGGGTCACGATTGCCTTCGGGATTCCGTGCAGGAGAAAAACGGTTGAGATTAACAGCTTGGCAGTTTGCTCGGCTGTGATCGTCGTTGGGCATGGCGCAAAATGAGCCATTTTTTGTGAGTCGGTCAACAACCACGAGTACAGCATCATTTTGGGATGTGCCGACCGGCAGTCCTGTGACGAAGTCCATGGACACGTGTGTCCAGGGCTTGGTGGGCGGCTCTAACTGTTGCAGTAATCTAGCTGGCTTTTGGCGAGAGGATTTCATATGTTGGCAGGTGGGACATGAGGCCACATATTGCTGCACGTCGTGGCTCGCATTCGGCCATTAATAATGACGTTGGAGCATTTTCAAGGTTTTATCAAACACAAAATGCCCCGAGCAATTAGCGTCATGAACCTCATGTTTCAGTAATTCCTGTCACAGTCAGTAGGATGGAACCCAAATTCGGTCAGTACCAGCTTTTAGGTGGTAGTGGCCCCGTTGAGTGGTCAGAGCCTGGTGGCCGTTAGAGGTGAAGAGAGGATCCGTGTTGTAGCCGTGGGTAAACAGTCCAGTTAGCAGCGGGGTAGCTTGGGCGATTAGTACGGCGGCTGTATGGGCAGTAGGGCGGGCAAGGGCATCGACAACATTATTTGCCCCCTTCTTGTAGGTGATGCGGTAGTGGAAGTTGGACTCGAGATATTCGAGCCAACGAATCTGTTGTGGATTGAGGGTCGGTTGGGCTCGGAGGAACTATAGGGACTTGTGGTCTGTTCAGACAGTAACATCGGCACCGAATAGGTAGCAGCGCCAGGTCTTGAAAGCATCGACGATTGCAAGCATTTCCTTGTCGTGAACCGGGTAATTCTGTTCAGCGCCGTGGGGTTTCCGCGAGTCGTAGGCGATTGGCTGCAGGCCTTCGCCAAAGTCCTGTAATAGTACCGCGCCAACGGCGATGTCGCTGGCATCCGTAACCAGTTCGTACGGGTGATCGGGGTCGGCGATACGAAGAATGGGTGGTGTCATGAGGAAAGTTTTCAGTTGGTCAAACACAACTTGCTGCCTCTGCCCCACTCATAAAAAACTCCCTTCTACAGCAAGTCGGTTAACGGGGCTGTTGACTCCGCATTTTATGTATATAGCGGCGCACGTAGTTGACGAACCCCATAAAACTCAGCAACTCCTTGACGTTTGTAGGCGGTTCCCAGTTGCGAATAGTGTTGATATTTTTCGGGTCAATTTTAACGCCTTCGGTTGAGATGACGTGGCCCAGGAATTTCAACTCCTCTTTTAAGAACTCGCACTTGGAGCCTTTGGTGATGAGTCGGTGTTGATCGCAGAGGGTAAAAACTGCTTTCAGGTTTGTCAAATGTTGTTCCCGCGATGTGCTGTACACCAGGATGTCAACTAGGTAGACGATAATGCACTTGTCCAGTAGCGAGCGGAAGACTTCGTTCATGGTCAGTTGAAAAGTGGAGGGTGCGTTCGTCAAACCAAACGGCATCACTGTATACTCGTAACTTCCGTAACGGGTTCAAAAAGCAGTCTCAGAAATATCAGCTTCGGCGACACGAATCTGGTGGTAACCTCCTCGTAGATCAATCTTGGAAAAAATCCAGGCCCCGCGAAGTTGGTCGATGAGATCGTCGGATCGTGGAATCGGGTAACGGAACTTTATGGTGATGTTATTGAGCACCCGATAATCGGTACACATCCGTAGGCTTCCGTCCTTCTTTGGGGTGAAGAGAATCAGCGCGGCGTAGGGTGGCGTGGATGGGCGGATAAATTTTTTCTCCAACAGATAATCCAGTTGGCTCAACTCCATCAGCTCCGATTGACTCAGCCTCAATTGCGATCGGACGGTCGGTTGCGCGCAAGGTTCCAAATCAATTTTGTGATCGTGTGGTCGTTCGGGTGGCAGGCCGGGCAGCAGATCATCGGGGAAAAATCTTCTCGTACTTGCGCATGATCTTCGTTAGGTCTTCAGGTACAGCTGCACACAGTTTCTCTATGGTTGTTTAATCAGCCACCTCTATTGATGTGATCCATCGGACGGCGTAGCCGTCCACGCCACGTGTCATTACACGCTTGTTAGTCACGTTGTTCACTAGTGTCGACTGAGGGTCGGGTGGTTTCCACTTTAGCAGTCGTCGCCATTCGCCTCCCCACTTCAAACAAATGTCGCCATTCCTCCAATCGATGCTTGGATTTTACGTGCGAAGCCAATCGCGCCCTAGGAGCACATCGCTGCCGTCCAACATTGTCACCAGCATCTTCATGGCGAAACTGACTTGGTTGTCGCAATTAATGCGCTCCTGTATTGCAAGTGGCGTGCCGTCGACCAGCCTTGCGTCAATCTTAGGCATGCACCTCTCCATTTGCAGTTGCAGTTTCTTCGCTCTTGTCACATCGAACAGACTGTGTGATGCTCCATCGTCCACAAATATTTTTAATCTGGTATTGCCAACATGCTCTTCCGCCAACACGGGCAGTCAACGGGTTCACTCCCATTTAACCGGATGTGGTTGATCGCATAGATCGGCACTACGACTCGGTGGGAATGGTGATCTTCGGGCGACGAAGCCTCATCAGTAGGGGGCCCGACTGCTACAGATGCTGTCCATTTCCCGGCTTCCTTCCGTCGTTAGCTCCCAATTTCCGCAACTCCGGACAGTCCCGCATGATGTGCCCCGTTCGGCCACATTTATAACACCTGTCAGAAAATCTGTTATCTGATGGTGCCGCCACGCCGTTGATGGATGGGTAACTATTCTGCCCTCGAAAACGACTTCCCTCCCGGAAATTCATCCTCGGCCATACACTGTTCTCGTCCTACGCCTCTGCGACTTGCTGCACCTCCAGGAACGTCGCTGGGCGGCGAATGGGAATTTCGCGCTGGACCTCCGGTTTCAGCCCTAGAATGTATCGACCTGTCTTCTTCATCTCGTGTAGATCGTCGTTTTCGTCGCAGATGGCGAGAAATGATGACGTGTAATCTAGCGCAGAACCTAGTTGACGCCATCCGTGCAGCTTCACACAAGCGTTTTCGAATGCGGATACATGCTCGAAACGCCGGCGAAGTAGTGCATCCAAATGTTGCCAGGTGAGGATCTCGGCCACACCAAACAAGGATCTTGTAGGAGTTGAAGTCAATCGTTGCTTCCCGTCCATCGCCACCAACTTAATGCAGGTCCGCGTAATAAAGACACCGCCAACTTGACGCGTGTCTCATCGTCGTTGACATCGGCGGCTTTGAAGAACAGTTCCATGGCGAACAGCCACCCACTCAGCATGGTGTGTTTCTCCAAGGGGTTGAACGATGGGGGCATGGCAGGTTTTATCTTCACAATTGCACGTCGCTCGCTCGAACTGTCGTCACGTGTCGTTGACGTCGCCTGCGGTTGATGCGCGCTCGCACGATCTTCGTCCACGGTAACAGGCGACTCCTGACGCGTCACACCATGCGTCTGGCGAAGGCTCACGTTCTCCTCTTTTAACGCAGAGAGCTCGAGGGCCATGGCCTCCATCTTCGCCATCATTTCGCTAACCTTCGTCGTCAGTACGGATGCGTTTGCTGCCGCCTCAGACAAGTCAGCTATTTGCTCGGGAGTCATATTTCTAGTACTACGGCGAGGATTACCCTTACTAGCTAACGTCACTAAAGACTCTACGGGCATCTGCAGCGTTAGAGACGTGGAGCGCACACGACAAAGTAAGCGGAACTGAAGAAGGTCCTGCACGACCGCTGGACAGCTCCTGTCTCCTAACGTGCGAGGTGTCAAATTATATATTTATGTATGTATTTGTGTAGGCCTGGTAGTTGTGCTACATTGCTGAATCCTACTGTAGAGGGGACAACCCCCCCCCTTCTTGTATCTCCTTCTCTTTCCTGAGGATTCCCTTTTCTCTCGACATTTTCTCATAGCACCTAAACCCTCATGCCATTTCCATGGCTTCCCTCCTAACCTAGCGTTTTGACTTGGTATCAGAGTAGGCCCTTCCGCCCGGGCCTTCTCCTCACGCTTCTGCCTTGTACTCTCCTCCCTTCTGTCACTTCCGCACCGCCGTGGCAGCCATATCGTGCTGCCATGGCGTCTTCATCGTGCTGCCGTGGTAGCCTCGACGCGCAGCCATGGCGTCGACGCCACGCCTTGACGGCGTCGTCGTGCTGCCGTGGCAGCGTTGACGTGCTGCCGTGGCGGCGTCGTCATGCTGCCGTGGCATCGACGCGACGACGTGGCGGCGTCGACGTTCTGTCGTGGCGGCGTCGATGCGCCAGCGCATGAGCGGCAGTCGGCGGCACACTGCTTTAGGCGCCAACCAGCTCGCTCGCACGCCAGCCAGCGCCGCGCCAGCAGATTCGCCCCCTGCCTCCCCTGCATCTCCCCTTTTTTTCCAGCAGCAGCTGATGCCTTCATACCTGGTCGTCGCCGGGTCGTGCCACGCCGCCGGGTGTTGCGAGCTACGCAGTCGTCGCCGTCGTCGTCGAAGCTGCCGCCACTAGCGCCGCCACCGCTGTTCGTCGTCGTACTGCCGCTGACGCCGTTGCTGCCAACTGCACGAGGGGTAGAAGCCCCACTTGCTGCAGGACATAGGGGTGCACGGGCTTGGGGGTGATGCGTGTTGGGTGGGCTTGGGACTACCAAGCCTAGGGGGTGTGTCAAATTATATATATATACATATATATATATATATATTTTGTGTAGGCTTGGTAGTTGTGCTATATTGCTGAATCCTACTGTAGAGGGAACAACCCCCCCCCCCTTCTTGTATCTCCTTCTCTTTCCTAGTTATTCCCTTTCCTCTCGACATTTTCTCCTAGCACCTAAACCCACATGCCATTTCCATGGCTTCCATCATAACTTAGTGTTTCGACACGAGGTCCCTCTAAAAACTACCTCACTACGGAAGCCTAAATGGGCAGGAACGTAGCTTTGATACCAGATATTATGATAATCTCCGGATAGGAGTCGAGTAATGCAAGTGAGGTCGTGATTAAAGTGTGTCGAGTACAAATGAAGCACAGGGCTAAATACAAGCACGGCTAACCTAGCAAGAGAGCCTCGAGGAAGGCCACGAAACACACGTGAGGTGGTTCGTGCGCCTCGGGAAATGTTCGGGCGACCCATTGGCGCAGCGGGATAATGGGCGATTGCTGTCAGACGAAATTGTACGCGCTATCTGACATTTCAGACGAAAAAATACACCAAGTCTGAACTTTCAGACGAAATCTTATGACTGAGATGGACAATCAGACGAAATAATTCACCCCGTCAAAAAATCAGATGAAAGCAAAAAAACATGTCTGATTTTCAGACAATCAGACGGATTTCGTCTGATATCTGAGACCCTGCTCGGAAGAGTCGGACGTGACGCCGCGTGCAGGCTTGGGGTCTTGAACGTAGTTCGAATCTGAATTGTCGGGCCGAGCCTGGACTTCCGAAAGTCGGGGTTGTACTCGATGTTAGCGAGGCTCTATAAGGAAAAGGGGTTTTCCTTACAACCAGCCTGCAATGGTGGGTGTAGAACACTGTACGCCGGAAATACTGTACTTGTTAGAAGAGAATCTCCCCCACATTTAGTTTGCTCCTCCAACTTTGGACTATCCGCCCAACGTGTGCGGAATGCTGTGGCGGGGGTACGTACTGTGCGTACTAGCATCGCCTTCAGCCTTCTCTATCTAGATTCTAGAATGCTCATTCTTTGAGAATGCTCGTTCTGTGTCTCTCGCATCTATCTCCTAAAGCCTTGCGCCGCGTTGTCCCCTCGAGTATTTTCCCGCCGCGTCTCGCGCTCATACGGGTAGCTCCTCTCAGCCTCGTGACACGTGTCACATCCCACTCACGCCGTAAGCAGCCCCTGCCGCAATTCGCGCTTCCGCCTTTGCGCGGTTCTCGCGTGTCCCGGCTCGCTCTTTCCTCCGCCACGCCGCTCGGCCCGCCGCTCAGCCCGCCGCTTTTCCCGCCGCTCCTCCTGTCGCTCCTTGCGCCGCAATCTGCGCAGGCGCTCTTTCCGCGGCCACGCGCT